ATATCTATTGCCTTGTCCACACCCCCCTCCATGGATTTACGCCTTCTTTGCTGTTTTTTCAATCAAATTCTTGAAATTAAGCAGATGACCCATTCTCTGCTAATTTACATATTGTCGAACGGTTGTGTGTATACGGAACCAAATGTTTGATGTCCGGGTGTGTTTCCAATAATGTTGTCAGTGGGTATAGTAGCTTCTAGTGGATTTATAATAAAGGTATTATTCACTGTTTATAGACCTAATGGTTATTAAAAAGTTTTTATAAAATAAATCGATCCTCTAGAAAGTGACGTTTATGAGAGAGAATATCTAAAATAACCAAAACCTTGTCTGTATGATAATGATATGTGAGTTACAAATTGCCTTCAAAGTGACCTTAACATAGAAACTGTCTGGAAAGTTATAGAAAACTACGATATTAGCTTCATTTAAGTCCCTTAGTGAATTAATGACCTTGAAGCAGTCGTTAGAACACGAAGATATATATCATTGAATATCTTTGTAGACATATATCGTAAATGATGTGATTAAAAGTGGATATATGTTGAAATCTGTATTTCGAAATAAAGTTTGTTATGTTTTGAAAATTCAAATGACAAATTTTGTTTGACACATTCTCATTTCTATCATGCAACGTGCAAAATTTCTACATGTTTTTTTTTCTTGAAGCTTATGTGCGTTGACAACTATTTACCCCTGGAGTATGACAGAACAATGCGTTCACAACTATCTTTCCCTGGAGTTTGTCTGGCCAATGACGTTCTTAACTATCTACCCCATGAGTTAAAAGGGCCAATGGTGTTTACAACCATCTATTCTTTATAGTACTAGAAGGTAATGTAGTATAAATCAATATTTATGCCATATCACATAACAATCGTTTCTTTTTGTAAATTGTCACTTCCAAATGTACTGTGTCACACGTCTCGAGGCAATGTTTGCCTACTAGTGAGTTTGTTTTCTCAGACAATAGATTGCAAGCCGTAATAGATTTCACTATGATAACAGTTTAATTTTGAAAAAAATCTTAAACATTTACTTCATCTATTGAGAGAAAATTGGCTATAATTTGATACGATTTCAATTAACAACATTAAGGTTTTTCCGTTAAAATCAAAAGAAAGAGTAAATAGGCTACTGGGTTTTATATAACTTCCTTCTTCGATCCAGATCGATGTTAAGCAGCTTAAAGATCTTTCTTCGAAAAAAATTCCGCATCTTTGCGCCAAGTCTTTGTAGGATTTTATTCTCTAGCAGTTATCGTGTAAGACGAGATAAAGTAAGCTTATTGACAACTGTCTTTGATATTTCTTATATTGAAGAACATTAAACGCACTTGCTGAAATACCGGGTTAAAATTGTGCAGGTAGCGCTCATATCGGTCTGACGACCACAAATTAAAATATTAATGTGTCATTTGATTCAATTAAGTAAATTCAAATCAATACAGCAGATAAAAATCGCCCAAATCACAGTCAAAAGACTATCCCTCCTACAAGACAAATTAATCAATCTTTTCAAAACAGGAAATCCAACCTCCACAATCCGGGGAATAATATATACCTATCTGAAGTTCTTTACTACTTGTCGACTATCAAATACTCAACTTCCACATTGCTACTTAAAAATGTGTACAATAGCTGAAGATATTTTGATACCTAATTTTCATTTGAAATACATGTGGGAATCATCTGTGCTTTTGCTACAACGAAGCAGGTGGTACATAATTATTTCTATGCATCTTCTGTAATCTAGATACAAGGTGCATCTGAGCCTTGACTGATTCAATGGTATTATCAAATTCAGCGCTACTACCTTTAGAAAGACTAGTTTTTAAATTCTCAGAAGAAGAAATGAATACGGCTATTTCAAGACAAGAACTTCAGGTTGATGGAAATGAGTTTTTTTTTTATTACAAACAAGTAAATCAAAAGTCACAAAGTTAAAAAATGAATGGAGTTACAAATAACAAGTAAAATATTATTTTAGAAAGTGTACTTAACGTGTTAAATGAACAGGAAAACAAGTTGGTAATTAAAATCCTTTATGATTTTCACTATTTCCATCGATATACGGTTTATTTCCAGCCGCATGTGAGCTTAAAGAGTTTTTCTGGATAAATCAACTTTAAATGGGTTGCTTTTATTTCGAAGTTTTGAAAATTTTTCTCTCCCCTTATCTAGATAGTATTGTTGTGATGAGCGAGGGGTTTTAATTAGTGATGTGCATATTCCTCTAGTAGTTCTCAGAAAAGGGTTTATTTAATTTCTTGATTGTCGCAGAATGTAGCGACGGTTTGATAAATTATGTGTTATTATCTCTAAAGTTATAAAGAGAAGGCGATGTTTTGAATGTATCTAACATATAGTATGTAAATACTCTGGGCGATGATCAGTCATATTATAATGTAGCTTTCATCTTTTAACAAAGTGAATAGATTATTTAGTGAATTGGATAGTCCAATTATAATACCTGCTGCTTCCAAATGCAGTTTTGTAGGTTTTGTAGATTCTATCTCGGCCAGTCTTTTCATATGTCTTTAGATAAAAAAAGGGTATCCATATCTTTTGTCGCACAGTATATATAATTGGACAACCAATAAAATGTGTTTTTAACGAAGCCATAAGACATAAGTTTCTACAGTTAATCACTTTGATAGACATGATCAAAAGTTTTAGAAATATCAAAGAACACATGACAGAATAAAAATTGTTTCTAAAAGACGGAACGACATTATGGTACAGTTCAATTAGCTGATGAATTCTTGAATGCCTTGGTCAACAACCAGATTGATATAGATGAACTTCTTCTTGAGAAGTAGTTGAAGAGTGTTTTAATAAAATACAAGAAGATTTCTTAGGGGAGAAATTGGCTGGTAGTTAGACGGAAGAGATACATATCATTGGACATTATATTGTCATTTTGAAAGAGTTATGTAACATGATGATGATACAAGATTGTCGACCTTTTTGAAGAAAGTTGTTGTGATTTATATTAAAAACTAACAATAAAACATAGAGAAATTTTCATGAAATACAACAATGTCATGAGATACATGAAATTAATGAAATAAGTCAATCATCAACATGTAACTGCAACTGTAAATGCCCGAACAACATCATTCTAGCACGTCTTGTTTGAATTGTAGAAAGTCCCAAATCAGAATAGATTAAGAATTGGGACGGGAGTGGGGGGAAAACGTGTCATTAAAATTTGTATTAAGGCACATAGTGGGTATGTTTTCAAATGATACTAAGATGATTAAGGATCATCCTTTTTAATTACCCGAGCAGATTCTATGGGATAATCCCACTTCTTTAATTACACGGACTATAATATCTTCCCTGCCATTGCATACGATAACTAGAACAGTTTCATAACGCAGACAGTGAAATTAATCATGGCGACCATCATGAGTTGATGCCAAGTGACGTTAAATGAGATGAAAAGAAATAATAGAAGAAAACCTATAGAATCCTTGTATTTAATTAATGGTGAGCTCAATTCTTCATCTCACTACATGTATTCTTTATTAGAAGTACGTAATATACTGCTTGCTGTTAACATTTTTAACACAGCCAATGATGTTTGTAAATCACAGAGTAAGTGTGCAACAGCAAATAACTTAATCTATGTGCAAAGTTAATAAACTCAGTCGTTGGTTGTCACCAAATGGTCTATAAGGATAATCAGAATCTGTACAAGCAAGACAATTTCGTTAATCAAAAACACCCATCAATACTAGGCCTATATATAAACGTTCATGCCTGACCAAACAAATCAGCCAAAATGAAAAAAGCATATTTTATTTATCAACGAATTCTCTATAACGACCATAAAGGCATCAGCAATAGTGGATATTGTATCGCTTAAGACAAGGGTGGTAACGACATGTAATGAATTTACACCATACACCAAGGAGTGGTTTGTACAAACCCAATCCATTTATTATCCCTCAAAGAGATGTATAAATTTTCTCGGCGTATAACTTTTCGTATATATACATCTTGTGAATTAGAATAATTTGGTATCTCCTTGTTTATTAGGTTCCGCTAAATATCGCTTATGTTAAAACGCAATTCCGGTTATTCTATTTCTTTATATTTTACGGTTAAGTACAAAAAGGTTGAAGGTTGCAATTTCCCACCATAGAAACAATGCAAAATGGCATATCTTATCCATTTTAATGTCACGCGTCTAAGAATAGTCTTTTGGTCTTTAGTTGCCAGCTTGTATCAAGGTGAGATCAATGAAACAGTTTTGATATAAGTATTCAACATCAGTTGACATCACTTCCGTTTATGTCGTGTGAGTTATACTTGAGCATATGTCATATAATAAATGGTTCTGTAAGATTACCATCTCGAGAAATAAATCAATATATAATTCTTGATTTATAAAATTTTATTTTTTTCATGTTATTTATATTATTTCATATCACAAAAGCATTTTGTATTGTATAATGCCACACATTAATGATCTACAAAATTACAAATATACAAAAGTCTTCCAGACAAAGTAAATATGAAGATCATTTTAAGGCCCCGGCAAAATTCATTATATATAGAATTACCAAAACAACATACAAAATTGTATTTTACTGACTCTTATTTAAACCAAATCAAATCAATTAAAATAATGAATGTAAAAAATCTAGTATATTGAGTACATAATATGCAAAATGATTTAAAAAGAGTATATTGATACGAAGATCGGTATCGAATCAACGTGTAAAAACCTTAAATTAAGTACTTTACATCAAAAACACAACTTATGATGAATTTAAATCAATGCACATAAAAGTACAAATACAAAGTATAAACCCATAATGCTAAAACATTTACTGGACCTTTTCACCCAAAACACGTGATATTAAATAGCACAAAATAGCAAATATAAAGCAAAATTTAGATACAAAAATAATTTATGGAAAATGTATAAAAATACTGTCTATATAAATTTCTTTTCATTATATTATAAAAAAGTTTCCAAGTGTCCAATTAGTCAATACTATGACGTTTTGGAGATAAGTCTTTTTTCTTTTGTGTGAGCACTGGTATGGAAATTCGTCTTCTTTCCAATACTGGACTTAAGGAATACTTCACTTTAGATTGTCTTAAAATTTCCTTGAAAATACCTTCGATATTTACATTTTCTTTGGCAGAGGCTTCCACGTAACCATGTCCCCATTCAACGGACACAAGTGTTTCTGCGATTTCACGTTTTATTACTCTTTCGTCCGATTCCATGTCAGTTTTGTTAGCAACTATCACAATAGGAACATTTTCGTCATTTCGTTCAGCTAAAATCTGTTCCCTTAAAGCAATAACTTCATCAAAGGATGATGGATCATCGACTGAATACACTAATATAAAGGCATTGCTCGTGGATATCGCTAATGTTCTCATGGCAGGAAACGAATGCACTCCAGAAGTATCCAAAATGTCCAACTCTAATTGTGTATCTGTTAATTTATATTCACTACGATGTAACTCTTCAATGGTCTCCTTATATTCCCCAATAAACTGCTCATATAGAAACTGCGATATGATGGAGCTTTTTCCGACGGCAGCGGCACCCATTACCACGATTCTGAATTTGGTCTTCCTTAATTCTCTGTTTGACCTGATGCCAATTTTGATACTGGTTAAGCGGCTTGCAGTCAACATCTTGTGTTGTGTTGTCGATGTATTTCAAAATAACTGAAAGGATAAAAATAAAATATTTAAAAAAAAAACGATCAATTCACTTAAAACATTAATATACATGACATAATATATCCAAGCCATCGAGACAATACTGAAAAAAAGGCTAGGTTAAAATTTGTGAAAAATGAGCACAACATACCTGTAATTCTATAATCTCAATAAAGAAATCGGGATGCAGTTTTCAGTAGTAATGTTCTGGAGAATATTTCTTTGAAATGTAAAGAATCTGAATGTTGACAGTCCTATTTATACTGGTCTCATTTCAAGTGTAACACATTTACACGTATTTCATTGGCTGTTCGTTTTAACCAATAAAATTGATTCAAAACCAGAACATTGACACAGATTCAATACGACTGTGTCATTGCGCATCAATCGAATGAGGAAGACAGAGGAAGAAGAATGAAAATCAGAATTCAATACACTACCTTAAGACTTGTACAGATCCCCGCCCTGATCTTTTAAATATCATTCAGAGACTATGATAGGAAAATAACAAGCTTGTTATTGAAGCAATCGATAATTGTAAAGACTATCAGGAACATTATAGAAAGATATGAGTCATTATCGATACAATGTAACAATATAAATCTGTATGTCTGTTAGTACTTGATGATGGCCATTAACTTTGATTCAGCCTACCTTCAGTAGAGCTGTGTTTTTATAATACTGATTATAACATTCTATTAGAGATCGAGAACTCTCTTCAACTAACTCATCATCAATTGAGTACATGGCGACTGGAAGTAATTGTCTTATATGTACCATTTTCTATTTCTATTTAATGTCAACACACTTTCTCTATAGACACGGTAGTCTTATCAGGGTACTCTAGCAAACATAATCAATCTGAACACAGAAAACTATCATGATGATCGCGATGAGCAAACCATTTACCCGTCGTTCAATAAGTTGCAATATTTGCACAGGCTAGTTTAAATAAAATATGGAGTGGCTAAACATTTATCACACTTTTAAGTTACTATTCAATGCAATAAAAACAAGTAATTGAACAATGAATAAAAATAGCAATACATATATAAACAAATATCTTAACATTTTTACAACATATAATCCTACAGAAAAGCGTATCTATATGAATAGCCCAGATCAGGTCAGGTCAATGAGTACACTACATGCCATAGTTTAAATTAGATTTACAAAATCTTCGCCTTCACACACATCTTTGTAACTGTTTTCAGACAATTGGCATTGTTTTTAATGGACAAGTTCAAATTCAAACACCTACTTATTAGTGCTATGGTTATTTGGAATTTCAGTCACAGTTATGTTTTTAAAGGTTAATCAAAGGTATCATCTAAGTACAAGAATTGTGTATGATAACCGACTTAGCTGTACTGTCTGATCTCATGTTATACCGTACTCATTAACAGCGGAAATTATCAATTTGCAACCTCAATAGTTGATAATTATAGAATACATATTTGGAAGTCATTTGCACACTTTTAAAGTATTTGATTAAAAAATCCAAAAATCTAGTTGATATTCCCATACACTTGAGATTAATTTGCTAGCTTGTTAGACACGATATTTCGTATGCAGAAGTTTTCTTCAAAAATAGTCCGAGTATGGAGCGGCAAAGGTTGTAGAAACTTACTGTTCACTTGCATGTATCAACGATTCAAATAGTTGCATCACTGGGCACACTGCAATGCAGAGAAGATTTTTTCAATTTCTGAGGATATTTAATGCGTACAGGTACTGATTGTTTATACAATTATATTCCTGATGACGGTGTGAGAACCACATTGAAACGTTGTTGAAGTAATAAATATACCAGAAGTATCTATCCATAAAATTGTCTTTTTATCTATATCTTGTAGATAATATGCCATTGAAAGATTATTATTGTGAAAGCTATACCTTGGCGTATCTAAATAACTATCTATAAGTTACATGGTTAGGCACTTTCTATTGCAGATGCCCAGGCCTATTATTGATTTTTTTTTAACAACATTGGATACAACTCGTGGATTGTAAATTGAAATCGTCATGCAAAAGTTTCATCAATTTTAAAATAGAAATGGAAATTCAAACAATTCTCGACAAAAGTAGATTATTGTTGAAACTGGTTTGGTTTAATATTTTTGTCATGTTAGTTGTTAAACCAATAGATTCGTATATAAAGAGGTCCAAAAGCAAATAATTAATAGCTGTTTCTTATAAAAAAAATTCTTTACAAGCTAGACTATTCCGTCAATCAAAATTTGTCCAAAGCATTGCAAAATTGGGAGTAAAAGTTGTATAGTCATGGACTCGTTCAAAGAGAATTATTTTCAGGAGTTTCGAAAAAAAGTAAGCTTGGCCTGCTTCGTTTGACACCTGTCACTAACATATGGGCTAACACTATGTGATACAAATATAGCAATATATGCCTACGGGCTGAAGGCCTGTTAGAGGGTGGGGGAGACCGGTTTGCCAGAAAATTTCGCGTTGTTAACATATTTTCTTTCAGAACTTAATTGTTTTTAGTGCATCACCTGAAAACACTACCTGTCTGCTTAATTTTTTTCGATCGCTGCACAAAAAGATAATATTTGGGGGAGGGAGCTTTAAGAAGTCAAACATCTTTTCAAGAGCATTGTCTGCTTCCAATTTGATAATTTCGTTAACTAAAATTTCATGTTCTGTTTACAGTTATTACTATGTTTGTATGAATCGAAATGTTAAGACAATCGCATTTTCTGTTGTTAAAACCGTTAGAAGGGTGTGTTTCTTTTAAACGTTATTTGTGAGCCCCATATTAATGGTGTTACAGGTCTTCTGTTGTTAGTAAGTTGGAACCGTTAGAAGGGAGTGTTTCTTTTATCTACGATATAACGTTGTATTTAAGTTTGATTCTCATATATCATTATCTTGTAGGTTTCTTTTATCCCCCAAACAGCAACTTGAAGGTATTTAAGAAGCTCGGTGATGATACGGAAAAGAGTTTTATGGTTTGTTGTATGTTTTCCATTACCCCCAACTGATAAAATGTCGTCATTGCTGTTTATTAATTTTCATGCCAATACAACAGAAAAAACTCTATACAATATAGCATAATGAATTGGTTTGGGGTTGATGGTTCGTGATATTTCGAATTCCCTTTTTCGCACGCAATCATTTTTCAAAAAAGCTATTTTGAACTAAAGAACTTTAAAAGTTGTGTTATTTTCTTAACAGTTAGGTTTAAATTAAACTGTCTAATTTGATGGCCAAAATCTATCGATCAACCCTCTCTACTACCTACATCACTGGCGGTATGATCATGGGAAGACCCAAGGAGCAATTAATCTCAGATGTTTTAAAATCGAAATAGAAATAAGCTGAATTAGCTTGACGACATGGTGCAAAGATCACAAAACCACAAAAAATTGTATTATCTTGCCTTAAAAGCGAAATAAAGTATTCATCGTTAAATCATGTTTTCGTCTGAAGTCGAATTTAAAAGAACAGGTAGGAAATTTTTTGACCAATCATACGTTAGTCTCAGCTGAGCGAATCAGTTATAGTGTTCACAGCTCACCGTCGAAATTTGAGCCTTCAAATCCGAGTGTGTCCAGAATTATCCGCGTTTGAATGTTGAAATGACGACTCGTCAATTTAAGAGACTCTGTTATATATAGGAAAGACATATATAGAAATAGTGAGTAAAATTCATAGTTTGAAGTATTTTTAAAGGAATTGTTTTCTTACATTTCTTTACATATAATCAAGACTAAAAACAGCCCTAAAAAAGGCAAAGGACATTCGGCTATTACTTGGTAGTTTCCGTAACGTCACATTTACTTTGGTAATAAATGGGCAATCCCTTGTTTCTTTCTGACATTTCTGACCATTTACGTGTCTGGACCAGAATCACTGTTTAAGGAGTTTAAATTAAAATGATCACAATATGATTAACTTACTCGGAGATAAATGACTGATATGTAACTGTAAAAGTTTGAATATACTTTATAAATTGCGTATATAAGTAAACATTAGAGGATTACGTGTCTGGGAGCTAGGGACTACTGCTGTGAATTACAATAGAATTTCTATATTAGACTCCTGATAAACATCACTGATAATACTAATATACACTTTTATTCTATTTTGCGTAAATGCCGTAAAATAATATTAAAGTACAGTGGAATTCTGTTAGAATCAAAAGTGCTTTGTAAAACTCCAGACTGCGTTCTGATATCATTCTTCCTGTTTTCAAACTGCATTGGAAAAATTTCCCTTAATGCACCCTGTACGACATTGACCATCTTCATGAGCCCTGGTGCAGAAAAGTAGGGCGTAAAACTCCATTCATTTCATTTTTTGTTTTCAAACTGCATTAGAACAAGTATCTTCTGCTCGTCCGCTTTGGGATCAACATATACATTTGTAAGGTGTCTCGGTGGGTTAGGCACATTCACGTAAACGTTTGGATCCCTCATAAGTCCAGATGATACGTTCGTCCAGGTTTTCCCATTGAATGCAAAGTACGTCCATTATTTATGATTTTGCAATAAATTAAGGCCCCGTGTTCTATTGAATGCATTTAAGGGATCAATCGATAGTTGGAAAATGAAATAATGAGGCTTCTGCTGCTGCAGTCCTGGGCGCAAAATTAGGACTCCTTTGCATTCCCAGTTTACATGGGTCTACTTGGGTATTTTTACATTCTGAAGTTGTAAAATTGTAGCTTTCTATTGACCGAAAAGATTATTTGAGAATAAATTGTAAAGATCTAATCATTCACGACATTTCGTGTTTGTAGCGTAATCTGGAAAAATATTTGAATCGTAAGAAAAATATTCTTAAAACACATCGAGTATTCTAGAAGAGTAGATTGGAACGAGTGAGATTCACGAGGGAATCCATTCATCGTGGTGAACAATGTT